ATTTAGTATAAATAAATGGGAAAATTGTATCGGCATGTCATCATAAATAAAAATCAAGAGATTTGTGTGAGACGCGGTATTTTGATCTCACAGTATTTATTCAATATCTTTCATTCATTAGATAAGAACTAATAAAATGATTGGAATAAAACCTTTGGAAATTGATATTAAATTAATAAATCTTCGAAATGAAGATATTAGGCCATGGTTGTCTGAAGATATTAGAAAAATCAGGACCCTTCTTTTTCATAATAAATCAAAACAAGGTTGCAGTTTTTATATTCAAAATTCAGAAGGGAAATTACTTTTTGATAATCTTATGAGGGCTTTGAGGCATGCATATGACATGTCTAAGAACTATTCATTATCTTCAAGAGTTAAAAAAATAAAGATTAACGATGACTATGATAATTCAATAAATGAAAATTTTGACTATTATGGACAAATATATTGGGGTAATGAATGTATAAAAACTAATGATTTGGCTAGAATAGACTGTGACAAAAAAGGTAGTGATTTATGTATAAAAATCACTGGAATATATAAAGACAATAGGAAATCAATAAAGTTCAAGGGAGATTTATTAATGTCAATAAAAGATAAATCTAAACATAAATATTGGATTAAATTCAATCTTTACAATAAAAAATATATTTTTGATTTGAATAAAGTTGCTGGAAGATACTATTGGCCTGATTGGCATGTTAAAACTACCCAATCAATGCCAATTAATTATGTGATAGATGAAACAAAAAGGGTCCAGTTAATAAAAAAGTTAAAAGAAAATTTAATTGAAAAAGATACCAATAATGATAATAATAGCAGTGGTAGTAGTAGTAATGATTCAGTGATTATAATTGGTAGTGATGGTGGTGATAGCCAAGTGTGATAATGACTAACATGTTTTCAATAAGCAATTGGAAATTTTTAACTAACAGTTTAAACAATTAAAAATAGAAGTCAATCTGATATTTTAATAATTACATGATTAATGATTCATATATGCAAGAATCCTCATTCTTTCTTTACGATCATTTTCATATTGTATAGCTGCTTCTCTTGCGTTAAGCCTTTTTCTTTTTTCCTGAAAAAAAATATCAAAAATTAATAATTCAATGGTTAAAAAATTGATAATTTCATATAATTAATAAATTTATAAACAAACCTTTGGAAGTTTTTGTATTTTAGATGGATTAATACCAATACCATATTTATCATTTTTTATTCGTGTAGATATTGGATGACGAGGTCCTTGTTCATTAATACCAAGACCTTTATCATAACTCCATCCTTGATCACGTAACATCCTAAAGCCAATATTAGTCTTTATTAAAATAAATAATGATAAATAAGTTAGTTGTGTATATATATGTGTATATATATATATATTAATGTAATATTTTTTTGTTTAAAAAAAAAAAAATCTTTATTTACCTCATTGAGTATTATTGGATCTGGCACAGCATCATTTAAATCTTTTGAAGTAACAAGATGTGCAGTTCCATGAACATGTTGGTCGAATATTGACTCTTCCACCCATATTTCACAATCTTTGCAATATATCTTATTATTACTATTATTATCTTCAAAATTTTTTTCTTTTTCTTGTATTAATAATGATTTTTCTTTATCAAATTTTTTTTCTATCATTTCATCTTGAATACTTTTTCTATCAATAGCAACGTTTTCTGTTTCTTCATCGTCGCCATATTCTAATAGCATTAACAAACTGCTTGAAGTATTATTATTGTCATTGTTCTTCCTCCTCTTGTTGTTGTTAATGTTAGCAAATTTATTAACATTCCTGTCATTATTATTAACATTAAATATTTCTTGATGTAATAGATGTAGTGATTTACAAGTAGTTGTCTTTCTTTTTTTCTTTTTATTAATTTTTTTAGATTTCTGAGAAGGAAGTGAAATCACCTGCTCATAAAATTTGGCAGTACTCTCTGCAAGTTGTTCTTTATCAATATCATTATTTGGTTTATTATTATTATTAATATTGTTATATTCTTTGGAAGAGGGTACAAAATTTATTGAACTTTTGAATAATAATATTGATAAAAGCTCATTTTTTTCTATTGTCGACATTTTTTTTTTTTATAATAAAATAAAATAAGTTTGTGTACAGAACAAACAGCGGGTATTCAATTTTTAATATACAAACTGACCGTCATCTGACTTTAACTCGACTTTGCGTCACCAAAATCAATTTTGTGGCAATAACATATTCTGATTTCTCACCTTCTATTTTATATATAGACTACCAAAGTAATTCAGTAAAAAGTGAAGTAATTCAGAAGTTAGTTATAGAAGTCTTTTTTGCAATTAGAAAATCATATGT